CTTCTGGACTTGGCCTGCCACCACCTTCTCAATTATCCTTCCTAAAAAAGGGAGGTTACAGACCAGGCATCATGAAAGATGTCAAAACTGCAAAATGCCATTATTTTTTATGGAGCTACTGCACTACCTTTCAATTACCAAGTATGAAAGTTGGCACACAAAACTCCATGCCAACTATTGCAAGAAACTATACATTAGATCCCATGGTAACCGAATTGAAATAAATGGGAGGGACCAGTATATAGAGTTTTCAGAATTTTAGAATAATTTAGTAATAACCACAATAACACTACACATTGGTATCACAGTGAGGATGAAGGTCCCCCACAGCCAAAAATTCACTGTGCTACTCCTGTGCAGCATATCTAGTGTTACTTTATCTTTCCCCTGGTAGACTTGTGCTGCAGAAAGAGTTATTAATGCATTTTCTTGCTTAAAATGTGCATCCCAGTTGCTAGCAGCTGATTTTGGGGAAAAAGGTGTCTGAAGCATGCAGGAAAATATGGTATCAATGTGGATTTAGTTTATAAGTGTTAAAATCCAACGAAGTAAGCCTCAGAACATACCACTACTTCTGATCCTCCACAATGGCATGGGATGCATTGTTCTGAAGCACTGTATTTTCTCACTTTCCACAGACCCCAAAATAAGACAGGCCTTGTTTTTGGAAGGCAGAATGCAGGGGAAAAAAAGATTTTTCCAGGAGCTGTAGCCTAGACGTGGCCTTTTCATGGAGAGGCTGTGTTGCACAACAGCTGCAAGCTTTTCTAACACCTGGCAAGTTCAGAGTGCCTCTGAATGGCTCAACATAGAACTCCACCCCTCCTGTTTGCTGGATAATAGAGAAGCTGGTAACCATCCTGCAATACAACATCCTTATGCTTCTGTTCTAGTGATTCTCTTGACAAGTGTGCACTTGTCAGTATTGAAACACATCCTGTTTATGTTAGCCCACTCCTGTAACCTATCCAGATCTTGCTGCAATCTTTCCCTCCCCTACTAGCGTGCTCACCTCACGCCAAATTTTGGTATCATCAACGAATTTAAACAGGTTGCTTTTCACCCCGTCGTCCAAATCGCTGATGAAGAAATTGAACAGCGCAGGTCCCAGGACCGAGCCCTGGGGGACTCCGCTGCCTACTTCCCCCCAGCTTGAATATGACCCGTCCACCACCACCCTCTGAGTACGACCCTTGAGCCAATCTGCAATCCATCTGACTGTGTAGGCATCAATGCCACAGTCGCCTAGTTTTTTAATGAGGATGGGGTGGGAGACGGTGTCAAAGGCCTTGCTGAAGTCTAGAAAGACTATGTCCACTGAGACACCTGCATCCATTGCCTTTGTGACCTGATCATAAAAGGCAATCAGGTTGGTCTGACATGATCTGCCCCTAATGAAACGGTGCTGGCGGCCCTTGAGCATCATCCCTGAAGCTGGCCCATCACAGATGTGCTCCTTGAGAATCTTCTCAAAGAGTTTCCCAAGGACTGAGGTAAGACTGATGGGCCTATAGTTGCCCGGGTCCTCTCTCTTCCCTTTTTTGAAGATGGGGACCACGTTAGCTATCTTCCAGTCATCTGGCACCT